CACGAACAACGCGCACCCTCGCCCATAGCAGGGCGGGGCGGAGGGGGCCATGGGCGCGTGTCGTCGGATGGGGGGGTGCCCGCCCGAACGAGAGGCTGCCCCCAGGTCCGACAAACCGCACCCATACCTGTAGCCCGTCTTCCTCCCTCCGACCCCCCAACCGGCCTCATTTCGATTCCTCCGATTCGACTCGATTTCGACGGCACTCCGATTCCGACTGGATTCGACTTCGGATTCCGATTTAGACTCCGATTCTTTGCTGGATACATATTGGCCTGCTAATTTCCGCCGATTCGACTTTTCCCGACCGGCTGCCGACTTCAGCTTTTCCGACTCATTTTGATCGCCGATCCGACTTGTCCATTCGATTTTGGGCTCTCTTTCGTCATCGTCATCAGCATCATCAGCATCATCAGCATCATCATCATCATCATCATCATCATCATCATCATCATCATCATCATCATCATCATCATAATCATCATCATCATCATCAGCATCACCACCACCACCACCAGCATCATCATCGTGTGTGGTGTTCTTTCGCCATCCGGGGTTCTGGTCAAGTTTATGCTCACGACGCTGCACTTTGGCCGCACAGGGCTGCCGGGCCTCGCCGCGGGATGCCGGCAGCTCGGCGCCTTGCCTCCGCTTCGGCCGTCTTCGTCGTTTCTCGGCGGTTCTTTCTCCTCGGCATTCGGAGAAGGAAAGATAACGGTATAAGCATACACTTTTGGCGCTTCGCGCGGATTTCTTGGATCTGCGCTGGACCCCAACCCGCGCGGAGAGTTCCTGTTCAAGGCTTGCTTTCTTCTTCTAGTCATGGGTTCCAGCAGCTGCGCCCCGCCGAGAGCGTCGGCAGTCGAGGCCCCTCGAAGCAGCAGCAGGTCGGAGGACGAGACGGTGCCGACGCCGCTGCCCATGCCTCGCTTCTGCCTTTTGGAGCCTCCTGGGAGGCGCTCGCCGCCACGGCAGGATTCGCCTCGAGATTCTGGTCAGAGTGCACCCTGGGAGAGGTCTGGGGGGAAGCGGTCTCGGCATCACCAGAAGCAGCAGGGCCACACATTTTCGGAGGTCCGTGCTGGAACCCCTGTTTCTGGCGCGCGGGGCGCGCCAGGGGCGGCGCTGGAGGCGCCGCTGAGGAGGGGATGGTCGCCGCCGGTCGGAGAAATCTCAGCGGACCTCCGACAGTTTATGCTTATTCGTGCTGCTTCTGCTCCTCCTAGGCTCGCCTCCGCTTCGGCTACCCATCGGTCGTTGAAACTCATTTTGTTTTTGGATTCCCAGGTGCCAGATCTACTTTCAGCGCCTCCCTACTTCAATGATCGAGTGGCTTCGCCTTTCCCGTCCTCCTTAGGGGGCGGACGGAACTCTGCTCCCGCTCCTCGAGAGATCGACCCTTCGCTGGGGTGGCCTCTGCTTCGGCTCCACACGGTGTCCCCCAACAGCAGCGCACCGGCCTGCGCGCCCGGATCTGCCCCCCCCCCCCTCGCCGCGGCTCGCCCTTACAGTCGCGCCTCTCAGAGGTCACTCTTGCCGCGTGGACGAGGAGGGGGAGGAGGGGGAGGAGGAGGGAGGAGGAGGAGGAGGAGGAGGAGGAGGAGGAGGAGGAGGGGGAGGAGGAGGATGAGGAGGAGGACGAGGAGGAGGGAGGAGAGGGGAGGAGGAGGAGGAGGAGGGGGGGGCGGAAGGAGGAGGGGGAGGAAGGGGAAGCTTGTGAAGCCGACTGCTGGCGCTTGCGGAAGAGCAGTCCGCATACAAACAAACATGCGCTCGGAGGAGGTGTTTGCGCGTGCCCACCTCGAGGGCGGGTCTGGGCAAGCCTCTCCCAGCTGCCGCGCTCGCTGCCTCGTCTGCCCTTCGGAGAGCACACTCTCTCTTTCTCTCTATACCTCGTCCTCCTCCTCCTCCTCCTCCTCCTCCCTCGTCCTCGTCCTCGTCCTCCTCCGCCTCTTCCTCCTCCTCCTCCTTCTCCTCTTCCTCCTCCTCCACCTCCTCCCCTCCTCTTTCTCCTCTCTCCTCCTCCTCCTCTCCTCCTCCTCCTCCTCTCTCAATCTCTCTTCATCTCTCTGACTCTCCCATCTCTTTATACAAGCTGCACGTGCGCTCCCAGGCAGGCTCATGCAACACACATTGTACCCTGTGTGTACAGTGTCTTGTGTGACGTTTGTTGTGTGCCGTGTGTGTATGTGTTTCGGTGTGTGTGTGTGTGTGTGTGTGTGTGTGTGTGTGTGCGTCAGTGTGTGTGTGTGTGTGTCAGAATGTGTGTGTCTGTGTTGTGCGTTATGTGTGTGTGTGTGTGTGTGAGATAGGTGTGGTTTCTATCTTCATGTTGTGTACGTGTTTGTGCCCTGTGTGTGTTGTGTGTGTGTGTGTGTGTGTGTGTGTGTGTGTGTGCGTGCGTGCGTGCGTGCGTGCGTGCGTGCGTGCGTGCGTGCGTGCGTGCGTGCGTGCGTGCGTGCGTGCGTGCGTGCGTGTGTATGTGTGTGCGCGCGCGCGCGTGTGTGTGTGTGTGTGTGTGTGTGTGTGCGTGTGTGTGTGTGTGTGTGTGTGTGTGTGCGTGTATGTATGTTGTATGTTTGTTCTGTGTGTTCTGTATGTGTGTTTGTGGTTGTGTTTGTACGTCGGGGCCCGATCTCGCGAGGATGTGTTAGGCAAAATCATGTGAAAACTCATACTGTTGAAGGTGTTGTGCTAAACATATTGAGGAAGGCTGTGTTTCTGGGCCGTGACGTCGCGATCTGCGTGAGAGGTGCGCCCGCTTTTCAGAGTTTCTCGGTCCTCGATCTTCGATCCAGCCCCTCGTCTTCGAGGTGTGCCCTCGCCCTCATCCTGTCCTCTGGTGCTCGATCTTTGGGCCCCTCGTTGAACGCAACCGACAGGTTCCGCGCAGAGGACTGCCGAAGACTTCCGAGAACCAGTGATGCCCGCCAGAAGATCGCCAGAAGACCGCCAGAAGACCGCCGACGGCCGCAAACCGCCGCATCCTCGAACATCGGACCTCGATCCTCGCTCCTCGAGCCCGCCCTCGTCTCCGAGGCGTGCCCTCGTCTCTACCGTGCCCTCGTCTGGGATCTGCAGAAGGCGCTCGTCCGGTACTCCCAGGTCTGGCCGTGGCCATCCTCGTCCCAGGACGGTGCACACGCCGGCCTGGCCTCCGCCAGGAGTCGGCGGCGAGCGAGGGGAGGAGGTGGGAAGGAGAAGGCCTTCGCAGAAGGCGGCGGGACTTCTCAGAAGCCCCTCGCGCCTCCGGAGAGGTTTCCTCGTGCCCTCGGGGGAGGCTCAGGACACTTTTCAGGAGGCTGGGGACTTCCGAGCCCTCCGAAGAGGCCCGCCCCTTCTCACTTCCCCCCCTCGCCCGCCGCCGAAGGAGGTCGTGAACGCCATGCCAGTGCACAGGGTTGCCCTGGCCAGACACGGTGGTGGCGGTGGTCTGAACGGCACCTTCTGCGGACGTCCCCACAGGTTTCCCGAGGCTCACGATGTCCTCCAAGTTCCACAATGGAGATTCGGAACGACCGCACGGCTTTGGGACTTGGGCCGCGCTCCGACGATGCGCCGGGAGATTGTGCAGTGAGGCCTTCCCCTCTGGGGTCCTGGCATCGCTCGGATGAGTGCGCTTTTTTCTTCGGCGAGGACCATCGAGGAGCATCTTGGATCATCTTGCGAAAAATCAGCGCACCAAGCCGAATAATGCACGGGGGAAGGACGTCCGAGCCAAGGCCAGGGATTGGATCACGGCGTTGACTTCCACCGCACCGTTCCAAGGCATCCGCCGACATGATTCTTCAAATCCGCGGCCCCAGAGGCCTGGTCCCTACCCCAAAGGGAGTTTTGCGCCCTGGATCTGCTTTTGCCCAGAGGGAGTTTTGCGCCCCGGAACTGCTTTTGATGGTCCCGAGGTCGATGACGGGCCCTGGCGGCTGAAATCGAGGAACCAGTTTTGAAAAAGTCATGGCGACGGAGAGGATGGGATCCTCCCCGAGAAGGCCCCTGAAGGCCTTCGGAGGCACTTTGGAGACGCTCCAACCGCCCTCTGAAGAGCCTTCGTATCGTATCCTCGAGAACCTCCGACGGCCTCTGCCTACGAGGCGGGGCTCGACCTAAACTGTGTTTTCTATTTTCGTGTTGTTGTTGTTGTTGTTGTTGTTGTTGTTGTTGTTGTTGTTGTTGTTGTTGTTGTTGTTGTGTTCTGTTGTTCTGGATTCGCGCCGCCTTTGCTGCAAAAAACGAAAGCGGTCCACGATATCGGCAAAATCGTCGGCCTCCCAGAGAGATTTATACTTTAGGTGCCTCGGCCACGCACTGTGATCGTTTTTTCATTCAGTGTTTTGGCCGATCGGCGCGGGCTCTCGCACCCCCCCCCTTCCCCCCCCCTGGAGAAGATCTTGCCGGTTTTTCGCGCCTGTTGAAGGCAGGTGGAGTCTCCCCCACAGGACGCACTGTTGCAAGCAGTCGTGCTAAGCAGAGGTCCAGAGCCAGACCCCGCCGCTTTTCCCCCCTTTCCGCCCAATGTTGTCGGACGCGCGCTTCCAGCAGAGGCACATGGCACTGGTGTGTGCTTACAGTGGGGGCCCATGCCAAGAAACACCCTGCTTGCCTCCAGGGTGCCCTGGGCTTCTGGGGTTTCAACGGTTTTGCGACGGCGAGCGTGCCGTTCCCGCACCACAGATCCACGGACGTCCTGGGGTCTCAGAGGTGGGTTTCTTGTGGAAGGTTTCTTGTGGATCGGCCCCTACCGTACAGGACTGCTGGGGGCGTGGGCCTTTCTCCTCCTCCTCTTCCTTCTCCTCCTCTTCCTTCCCCTCCTCCTCCCCCTCCTCCTCCTCCTCCTCTTCCTCCTCCTCCTCCTCCTCCTCTTCCTTCTTCTCCTCCTCTTCCTCCTCCTTCTCCTCCTCCTCTTCCTTCCCCTCCTCCTTCCCCTCTTCCTCCTCCTCCTCTTCCTCCTCCTCCTCCTCCTCCTCCTCCTCCTTCCCCTCCTCCTTCCCCTTTCGCTCGAGCCCTGCTGCGAGGCCTGCGAGGCGGGACACGCGGGCGCCGCGGCGCTGCTGCTGCGCAGCGCGGCGGACCCCGCCGCGCGCGACCTGGAGGGGTGGACGCCGCTGCACTGGGCGGCGCTGCGAGGCGCCCCGCGCCCCGGAGCTCCCGGGAGCTGCGACGATTCGGGGCTCAGGAGACCGGGGGTACAGTCGGGGCCCTGAAGAAGGAACCCTTTCCGTTGGGGAGGGGCTCCGTGTTCCTTAATTGTTTCACAGCTTCCCTCACTTTTTCCTTAGGTTTTCGAAGGGAAATCGAAGTTTAACTTATGGAGAAAAGAGTCCTCGTTCCTTATTTGGGGTTCCTTAGGTCAACGCCCCGACTGTAAGGCAAGCGGGGGTAAGCCAGGGCACCGGATCTTGCAGGATCTTGCGAAGACCCCCTCTGGCTGACCCGGGTTAGCGAGCCGCTCGCGGCCGCGAGGCGGCCGCGCATGTTGGCTGACCCAGGTTTGCGAAGACTTGCGTTGCAGTTTTTTTTGTTTTGTTGCATTGCAGTTTTTTGGTTTCCGGCTGACCCGGGTTTGGATCGACCTGGGTTAGCAGACCCCCGATCAGTCGGGGGGTGGCCTTTGGAGGTGCGGTGTTGTTCTTGGAGGTTGATAGACCTCCTACCCTGACGCGTCGATTAGCGAATTGGCCGTTTTCGGTTCGCGAGAGGGCGTCGCGGCCGTCGTTTTTGCGGGGCCAGGGCCTTCGGTTTCGGTCCTAGGCAGTTTTCACTAAAGGGTGGTTTACTAAAGGGAGGTTTGTCCACCGCCGATTTTCACCAGAGACAAAAGCACCACTGCCACCAGCTAGGGGGGTGGCTGTCCCACCCTCTCGAGCTGGTGGCACCTCGTTCCGGGCATGCCTCCAAGAGAGCGCTCGGGAGGAGGCGCCACCAGCTCGAGGGGAGGGGAGCGGCCACCCTCTTGGCTGGTATTAGTGGTACTTTTGTCCCTCCGGAGTTTTTTTTTGTGGTGCGTTTGTTCTCTCCCCAGGGTAACGCTTGGCCAACTCCCCTCCCCTGGTAGCGCTGACGATCGTATTGGGGGGGGGGGGGCTGGACCCCCACTGCATACTGTGGTGTGCACAGGCGATGGATGCGCTGGTGGCGCGGACGCACCCTGGCGAGTGCACGCCGCGGCCACCGTTACCGTTACCCTACCGCCCGACTCCCACCTGGGTAATGACCGTTACCCAGGAAAGAAAAGCACGGTCACGAGGGCCTCGTGAGGGCTTCGGAGGGCCTCTGGGAGGTTTTGTTCCCAAAGCTCCTGTGCTGGGCTCTCGTTTTTACTAGAGCAATGCGGTCGCGTCTCCTTTTCCTCCTCCTCCTTTTCCTGCCCCTTCTTCCTCCCCCCTCCTCCTGTTTCCTGCTGCGCTGCTCCCTGGGTGGCTTCGAACTGTCCAACCGTCGCCACTTTCGTGGGCTCCTGGGAGGCACGGCGGAGTCGGGGAATAAACGAGTCGGGGAATAAACGGATCAGTTGAGACCTCGCTGCTGTTCCCTGGGTGGCTGCGAACTGTGCAACTGTCGCCATTTTCGTGGGCTCATGGGAGGCACGGCGGGAGTCGGGGGCCACGCGCACCCATTTGAGACATCGCAGTTCCATGTGTGGCTGCGAACTGTGCAATTGTCTCCACTTTTGGGCTCATGGGAGGCACGGCGGCTTCGGGGGCCATGCGAACCCATTTGAGACCTCGCTGCTCCTTGGACTGCGTCGAATTGCGCGATTGTTGCCACTTTCGTTGGCTCCTGGGAGGTGCAGCGGAGTTGGGGACTATGCGGGTCCAGCCGAGACTTCACTGCTCTTTGGGAGGGTACGAAATGCGCAATTGCCGCCGCTGTCGTGGGCTCGTGGGAGGCTAGGCGGAGTTGAGGGCAGCCCAGATCGTGAATATCTGGCGATGTGTTCTTTCGTATGGAGCGTTCAGGCAACGACCCGCCTCGCGTGGGGAAGGGTCTGGGTACGTCTCGTATAATTTGTTCTTCTAGATTTCGGTAAGTCTACATGCATGGAGGAGGGGAGGAGGAGGGGGAGGACGAGCAGGAGGAGGAGGAGAAGGAGAATGAGGAGGAGGAGGAGAAGGGGGAGGAGGGGGAGGAGGACAAGCTAGGTGCGCTCGCGTCATATCTGACATCCTACCCCTCCCTCCCATCCCTTACCATGGCGTAGATCCCCTCTCTACTCGCACAGTCGGATGTCGAGCAGGGCAATGCTCCCGAAAGGGTACGCGATGCATTGTAGAGCACGGCATGGCATGGCGTAGAAGAGCACCGCAAAGCGTAGCTTCAACCTAGCATTGCATTGCGGCATGGCACGGAAAATGACGCCAGCGCTGCAGCGGGAGCACGAGTCGGAACGAGCGGAAGCGCGGAAATGAGGCCAGTGCTGCAGCGGGAGCACGATTCGGAACGAGCGGAAGCACGGAAATGAGGCCAGCGCTGCAGCGGGAGCACGATTCGGAACGAGCGGGGCCCGAAAATGAGGCCGGCGCCTCAGCGAGAACAGCATTTTGGGAACAAATGCAAGCGAAAACCCAACTCCGGGGAATCCTGTGTGTAAAAAAACAGTGCGCGGGGGGCGGTCCTAATACATTCAAACCGTCATCAGGGGAAGAGGGAGAGTAGTACTCATGTTGAGTAATTGTGGAGGAGGAGGAGGAGGAGGAGGAGGAGGAGGAGGAGGAGGAGGAGGAGGAGGAGGAGGAGGTCGGTGGAGGATCCTGGAGCCCAGGATCCCCCGCCGACCCGACCTCTCTCGAGCCGCGGGCTGCCCGGGCTGTGTGTCTGCATGCACGTCGTCGGCGCGGTGGCGACGCCCGGGGGGCGTGCTGAGGCCCGGAAGGGGATCTGGACTTCACTCAAGGCGGGACGCGCTTGCACGCTGTCCGGGCCCAGCGTGCTCGGGAAAGGCGCTGGAGGGCTGGGAATGCCATGCTCGTGAGTTTTGCCCAAATCTCGTGACTCCGGACTTCACGCAAGGCGGGACTCGCTTGCACGCTGTCCGGGCCCAGCGTGCTGGGAAAAGGCGCTGGAGGGCGGGGAATGCCACGCTCGTGAGGTTGCCCGAGTCTCGTGAAAAGGTAGCGTCTTTTTCAATCGGGGAGGGCATCCAGATGGCCCCTGGAGTGCCTCCATAGGGCCTCCACGAGGGCCGCCACGAGGGCCTCTGGAGGGCCTCCGAAGGCCTCCGAAAGGTCTGCGATCGACCTTCGAAGCCCTTTGGGGCTGCTTCGGGGATCCCTTGCAAGACCCGCACCTCCGACAATCCGATTTTGTCGAGCCAGGTCGCATTTCCTCGAGTTCGGCCTCCGGGGTCCGCTGGCGGGCCCCGGGGGCCCTTCTGGATCCGGGGCGGAGAACCACCCCCCAGGGAGGCGGTCGGGACCTCTGGCGCCCGTGCCAGCAGCTCTCCCGGACCTCGCGTCGCGACAGGGTCACGGCGGAGGGCATTTGGCCGTTTTCGGCGTCTGGGTGCCCGTCGACAAATCACAGAGGATGAACAGCCGGGTTCCGGGTAAGATGTCCCGTTTTCGGGGGTTCACGTTTTAGAAAGGTCACGGCGTCGGAGGTGGGCGGGTACCGATGCCGTTAGCTCTGCCTCGTTTGTCGCACTCTGTGGCCTCCTGGGAGGCTCTCGCCTCCACGGCTGGATTCGCCTCGAGATTCTGGCAAGGGTGCGCCCCAAGAGAGGTCCAGGAAGTAGCGGCATCGGGTATGTGTTCGGGAGGTGACTCGTGTTCGGGAGGTGTTGTGTGCTCGGGAGGTGACGTGTGCTCGCGAAAGAATGCGCGCTCGGGAGATGCGGTGTGCTCGGCGGAGTTGAATGGGCAGGGGCGGTGCTTGGTGGGTTGAGCGTGCGGGTGGGTGTTGGATTCCTTATGGATTTGCTTCAAAAAAGCCTGCGCGCCCAAGCACAACAGCGAATCTCGGTATTTCGGTTCCCCCCCCAGAAACTCGGAGGCGCGCAGAGACCGACGGCGGCGGCGATGGCGGCGACGGCAACGGCGATGTCGACGTGGACGGCGACAGCGGTGGGAGCGTTGGCGGCGGCGACGACGGCGCCGACAACGACGACGCCGACGACGCCGCCGCCGACGACCACGCCGACGACGACGACGCCGACGAGGACGACGAAGACGACGACGCCGACGACGACGACGCCGACGACGACGACGCTGCCGCCGCCGTCGCCGCCGCCGACGACGACGACCACGAGGACGACGACGACGATGACTCGATGACGACTCAACGACTCGACGACGACGATTCGACGGCGACGACGACGACAACGACGACGACGACGGCGGCGGCGGCGGCGGCGGCTGCGGCAGCGACGGTCACGGCGACGTCGACGTGGACGGCGACGACGGAGGGAGAGGGGGCGGCGGTGACGACGACGACGCCGCCGACGACGCCGACGACGACGACGATGACAACGACGACGATGAGGACGCCAACGGGGGGGTAATCGCGTGCTATCCGAAGGAGGCTGGGGAGAGGGGAATGGCAGTTGCAAGGCCCAAGTATCTGGGGCAGCAGGATTGGCCGAGCAGCGTCGGCCGTCCCCGAGGTGGGGTTGGGATTGGGAGATGGCTGTAGCGGGTGGGGGAAGATGAGATGTGCTGTCAGTGTTTGCACTGAAGTGGTTCTTGCGGAGATTGCAAGAGTAGGCGGAAAAAGCGCGCCCATTCTTGTGTGCGGCCCTGTTCCCAGGTTGCCCAGATTCGGACTTTCCAAGACGACGCTGGAGGGTCCAAGAGGAACCCTGGAGGAACCAGAATGAAGTCGCGCGAGAGCCCTTTCTCGTCACATCGGTATGTTTCCTCTGAGCGCTGACACTCTTGTCCACCCACGCCGCGTACCTTCTGTTGATGGCCTCCAGTGCCAGCTTAGCCCTCCGTGGCGCCGTGGTCGAAATCATCCTGCAAGCCTTCTGGGGGCAGGGGCGGGGTGAACGCGAACCCAGCCTCCGCTGAAAGCGTTTCCCATAGGAACCGCCTGCAGGAATTCTGTCATGTAAGCCCGGGCATAAACACATCTGTTTATACAGAAAATTGCCAACAACCCCGAAGCGCAGCAAGTGCTACTCCAATAGGAGTATACGCAGACAGCCAACAAAACCGTATAGACATTTTTCAGTAACAAAAGAAATCGCACAGGCTCTCACACGCGTTCGCGCGCAAGCGAACGCAGCGACGGTTTCGAAGGCTGGGCCGCGCCCGCAGCCCCCCGCTCCTCGCCCCCACCGTCCCTTCCAATACTCTTAGCTGGCAGTGGTTTAGGTTTAGTTACGTTGCATTTTCGGGGGGCCTCGCCTGTCCCCCAGATTGGTGTCTTTTTTGTGCCCGACGAGGGCTCGGTGCGGACTCGACGCGGATGAGGAGTGGATTCGACGCGGATTCGACACGGATCCGATGATCCCGACATGGATTCGACACGGTGTCGACGCGGACAGGACCGCGATGGGACAGAAAAGGTCCCCCGAGGATGCAACACACGTTTAGAGCGTTGTGTGTATCCAGTCCTTTTTCGAGTGGGGGATGGATTACAGAGCTCATTCGCCCCAACACTGATTTTCACGTCGAATCTTCGATCAAAGTACGTAGGATGCTCGCAAATCTAAGAACGTTTACGCACGTTCCGTGGATTCGACCAGGCAAGTCAATTCTGGGGTAAATCAATTCTGTAGTCGATGCCCTGCTCGATCCTGACCCCCCTCGGCGGGGAAGGGCGCAGCCCGCATCAAGACATCGGGGGCGCAGGGCACCAAGAGGAGGGCCCCTCAGCGGGCCCAAGGAGGGCGGCCCCGCGGGGCCTCCAAGAGGATTCCCCACGATCTCATACAGAGGGCTCTCGGTATGAAATCATTGGGGGGGGCTCCTGTGGTCGGCCACGCGCAGAAGGGGGGGTCGGGGGGGAGAGGGATTGGCTTCTTAGACGCACCCCTGCTTCTTATAAGGCGCGGGCTTTGTCTGTAGATGTGAGGCTGGCGCCTTCTGAGAAGCAGCTTGCTTCTGAGAAGCCTTCCCCCCTCCGCCTACCCCCATTGTGCGCGCCGCCAATCTAGGCCCCCAACAATGACCTCTTTAGGTCGCTCTTGGGGCCCCCTTGGACCCCTCCTGGCTTTGCTTTGGCTTTTCCTGAGCTGCCCCGAGGCTCTCTAGTTTCGAGAGATGACCCCAGGAGGCCCCAACAGGCAAAAGGAAATAACGCGGGAATGCTCTCACGCGACTTTATTGCGTTTTTTTGTGGTTCCGCTGGGCCTCCGTGGAGGCTTCCGCAGCCTTCCAGCGCCGCGTCAGAGGGCCCCGAGACCCAGAGGGAGGGCGTGTACCCATTCTGGCGCTCACAAGGCGCCGTCTGACATCAGGTCCTCATGAGCCGAGACGGCCGCGCACCTACAGATTCGACCGTCGCCGCCGCCACTTCATTGCCGTCCTCTTCTTCTTCCTCTCGCAGCACAGTATATGCGATTAGCTGATCAACGCTTCCGCTGCCGCTGCTTCGGCGGCTTAAGCTGCATGGACACGACAGGATGGCGACGCGCATGCGCCGATTCCGCCCACCTGACAAGCGAGGAACAGAGCTGCTGTGGCGACGTGTGGAGGGGGCTCCCACGGGAGCTTTGCTTCGTCGGTTTTCCTGCAAGCGGTGTTGGTGCATGTTTGTTGGCCTCCTACATGCGCTGATCCCCCCTGGCTATTCGCCCCCATCGTTGCTCCCGTGAGGAGGTACGGGGAGGAGGGAGGAGGGACGGGATGAGGAGGGGAACGAGGAAAAGGAGGAGGAGGAGGAGGAGGAGGAGGAGGAGGGAAAGGAGGAGGAGAAGATCAGTTGAATCCAAATCGCCTTGCTTGTGTGCGCGCCGAGGCAGCACCCCGCTGGCCGAGAGGCTCCTCGAGGCGGGCGCGCCGGTCGAGGCGGAGGAGCCAGCGCGGGGGTGCGCAGGAGGGGAAACAACACACAGCACAATTAATCGTCGATTCCCTAGAAAAGATGGGCAAATATGGGAAGGGGGGGGAAGACGGAAATCCAAAAATTATGGACAACTATGGGGAGTCCTGTTTTCTGTGTGTATTTACTTGTGTGTCCTTGGGCCCCTTCAGGTGCACCAGCCCCGAAACGTCCAGTCGTCGCCGAGCCCGGCATCGCTCGCACGTGTGCACGTCTGCCTCGGTGCGAGGGCCACCGAGGAGCAGCGAGGGGCATCCTGCGGAGGAGGAGCGCAGGAGACCGGCAGCTGCACGGGGGGCACGGGCGTCCGAGCGACGGCGAGAGACAGAAGCCCGACGGCCCACCTCATCCCAGGAACGCGCGCGTTCATCATTCAAGCAGTGGCGAAGCGTCCTGGCTCGCCTATAGGCCCACCAAGCAATGTTCTAAGAACCTCTTGTGGTCTGCACGAAGTGTTCTCAGAACATTTCTGGCCGGGACCGTCTTGTTTCAGCACAGCGGGTTTATGTTCCAAGAACATTGTTTTGTCTCAGAACATATTTGGGTTCTGAGAACATCTCGAGGTAGGCCCACAGGAACGCCGGGACGGTCGGTCCATGCTCAAATCAGTGGTGGCCCATCGCCGATCTGTCCGCGACGTGTCGCCGATGTTCCAGGTCGGCGTGCCCCCCGAGCGGGCTGCGCGCGAGGGGAGCCCTTGGCGGGAGGGGCCTTTTGTGGGCGGCGCGCCCGGGGGGGGGGAAAGCGAGAAGGGGCGGGCCTTCTCAGAAGGCTCGGAAGGCCCGTGGCCTTGCGAGAAGTTTCTGGAGCCTTCCCCGAAGGCCAAGGGCGCTCTTCAGGGCGCGAAGCTACTTCCGCTTCGCGCTTTGCGGTTCGGCTCCGGCTCCTCCTTGTCCCCCCTCTTCTCCCCTGGGGGGTTACGCGAGATTGCGAAGTTTTGTTCGCGCTTCGCGCAGCGCGAAGCGCGGGGTTTGGCGCCAGTGGGGGCGGCTTCCCGGAAGGCCGGGGGGCTTCTGGGAAGCCCCGTCGCCTTCTGAGAAGGCCTCCTCCTTCTCACTCTGCCCCTCTCGCTCGCCGCCGATTTGTGGTGCGATTGCACTCTGCTGGTTGGATCTCTCAAGCTCTCCGCCGCTTCAAGCGGCGCGGATTCCGGGCAGGAGCGCGGGAGAGCCACAGGGAGGCGTGGCAGTGACAGTGTAGCTCCGCACACGTGTCAAATTTCCGAGCGGGCAAGAATACAGCAAAGCTCCAGGATAGGCATCGACAGTGTAGCTCAGCATGACCACTGGCCGAGGAGCCCCTGCGACGTGTCCACGAGCGTTGCTCCAGCCCGGCGGGTGTGGACAAAGGACGCTTTGAGCGCAAAACACAGGAACAATGAGCATGTCCAGACCTCCCAGATACTGCTACCCTTGCCTCGCTGTCCCCTTCTTGGGCCTCCTGGGAAACCTCGTCGCCACGGCTGGATTCGCTTCGAAGACCTTCTCCGAACGCACTTCTAAAGGCCAGAGGAGGAGGAGGAGGAGGAGGAGGAGGAGGAGGAGGAGGATGAGGAGGAGGAGGAGGAGGAGGAGGAGGAGGAGGAAGTGAGGGAGGAAGGAGGAGGGAGGAGGAGGAGGAGGGGAGGGAGGAGAGGAGGAGGAGGGGAGTCGTGGTGCCCCACACAAGGCTGGTGATAGGGGGCCGTCGGGCCTCCTGCCCATGGCTGACGCCGCAAGGCCGACTCCGCGGTCCTACTTCAGCAGGGTCCTCCTCCCTCCTCCTCCCTCCTCCTCCCTCCTCCTCCCTCCTCCTCCTCCTCTCCGGTCGAAGTCTTCTTTGCGGTCGTCTTTGAATGCGGTTCGAAGTCTCGGGTCGGCGAAAGGGGGGATTGGGAAAGGGGGGGTTACGAAATCTGCTGCATGCAGCTGGTTTCGGCCTCACCGAGGGGCCCATTCCTCGATACATGGTCGCCTCCGGCGCCGGGAGGCGCCAGGAGAATCAGCTACGTGAGCTGATTCTCAAACCCTTCCTTTGCTATCCCCCCCTTTCGCCCGACCCGACAAGAAAGCGAGAGCGCGCACCTCTTGGGTTTCAGGGGGGGGGCAGCGTCACGCGCTCAGAGGCCCGAAGGGCTCCGCGGACCTCCGCGCGGCGGGGGCCGCCAGGTCTCCTACACGGAAGGGGCGACCGAGGCTGCTCAGGGGACAGGGCCCTCTCTAAGTGGATACCCATGCGGGTTATGTTTGGCCTAAGCTAGCTTGTCGGGACCTCGCAAAGGGGGGGGTGCCACAGGGGGGGGAGTTCGGTCCGTTGGCGCATCGAGCCGCAGAGAAGCGATGCAAAACGAGGTCTCCGGTCGCCGCCGGAACCCGAGAGGCGTCGTCAATCGGGGCGCGCGGGGGGCATCGTTTTTCGGAAATTCGATGCGCCAGCGGATCGAACTCCCCCCCCCCGCAAGGTTCCCACCCCCCGCTCTGGTGGGCCCCGAGCTTACCAGTTGGTTGCAAGTAACCTAACCGTCTTACGGGTGGCAAAGGCCCTGAGCTAAGTTGGCGGAGCCCACTTAGAAGAGATGCCAAACCTCTTGAAGCCACCTCGGGCAGTTGTAACCCATGTATGACCTAGGTTAGGCCATGTATATATATATATATATATATATATATATATATATGTCGGCGGTGCCCGGTGCGGAGCGAACCCCCCCCCCCGGTAATCTCTCCTGGGGGGTTTCGAGCTGGCGCCATTCCCGGTGCGAGCCTGCACGAACCCCCCCGGTAAACACGACCTCCTCTGGTAGGCTGCACGAACCCCCCCGGTAAGGACGCAACCCCTCCGTAAGCGGCGCGCTCCCAGCACGCGCGAAACCCAGCCCCGACGCGCGAATCTTACCAGGACGGGCCGGATTACAGCGGCGGCATTGCATTCCAGGGCCGTGCCGGAACACGGCGGCACTGTTCTTCTACGCGGCCGTGCCGTCGACCCCCCACAGCGGCTCTCGGGAGTTGCGCCGCAGCCTCTCGTATTGTGGCCACGAGCCACAATACGAGAGGCTGCGGCGGAACAAAGGCGAGCAGACGCGAATAGAGAACACAAGGCGAGCACACGCCACACTTCGACAGGGAGCCACCCTTCCCAACCGCCCCCCTGCCCCCCCCCGGGGGGGGGGGGGGGAGCCCAGGTAGACGCAGTGCGGCCTGCACGAACCCCCCCGGTAAAGCGGCAAGGGGGGGGGTTCTAAGCCGCTGGCGGCACCCGGTGCGGGCTGCACGAAACCCCCCGGTAGTGCACGAAACCCCCCGGTAGTGCTGGGGGGGGGTTTCGTGCCACGGCGCACCGCCGACATATATAGCTTCATTAACATCGACTTAGAACCCCCTATCCCCTCAGCAACCTTAGCGTGGTCCAAGAAGTTCAGTTTGTCCACTTCATTGTATTCTGACGGCCCCACGACCCAGCGAGTGCCCCCGGTGGCCGAAAACTGCCGAAACCTCCCGTTCTGTTCTTGCTCACGACGCGAGGGGGCCTGGGATCCGTGGAGCCTCGAGAAACATGTTCTGGGAACGCGCTCCGTCCCGAGGGGCAGCGATGGAGGGGGACCCGCTCAGGGGAAGAACCGCCGCGCTGGAATCGGGGCACGCCGCCGATCGACCGGCGATGGGCCCCCGACCGCGAGTCCGCACGCTCCTGGGCGGGGCGGGCTATCGGGACCCCTGTCGGCGATGAAGGGGCGATCCTCCTCCTCCTCCTCCTCCTCCTCCTCCCTCCTCCTCCCCCCTCCTCCTCCTCCTCCTCCTCCTCCTCCTCCTCCTCCCCCTCCTCCTCCCCCGCCTCCTCCTCCTCCTCCTCCTCCTGGGCGGGGCGGGCTATCGGGACCCCTGTCGCGTGCCAAGACAGCGCCCGACGTGGTCTTTCCCGCACCGTGACACCGGGGCGCGGAGCGCCCCACGGGCGCCGCCAGAGGCGGCGCGGGGGTGTCGAGACCGGAGGCCGCCCCGAGCTGCTCGGGGGGCCTGTACGGGCCAGCTGGGCCTGGTCGGGGCGCCTGTTGAGGCCAGCCAGGGCTACCCGGGGGGGCTGTCTGTGCACAACCCGAAGCCTCACCATTTTATTCCGAGTCGTTTTTTGACGGTCCTTGCGAGGTCCCTCAGAGGCCGCAGACGGCCAAAAACCGTCCGTCGTGCTTCTGTCACGACGCGAGGCTCGTGGCCGGCCAGAACACGCGGGCCGAACGCGTCGCCGGCCGCAGATTGCTACAGCTTGGCGGGGTCCTGCTCGCGCGCGACCTTCTCCTGAGGCGCTCCGGGGGGGGGAAGCCTCGACGAGGCATCGGCGGCGCGTTGCCGATGGATCGGCGACAGGCCGCCGATCACGCATGCGGACGCTCCCGGGGGGGGTGGGCATCCATTCGGGACGATCGAAATGGGTACGGGAAGAATGGGTACAAAGGCCAACAGCAGTTCCTGTGCATTTTGAACAGGAGTCGCTGTCGGTGTCGCCGCGGCCTGTTTCCACGGAAGACAAAGAGCCGCCTGCCCAAAAAGCGGTCGCGGTCGGTTTTGGACAACGTTTGCTGTTGGGCATTGTGCCCATCATCGGGCGTGCAAATCCATGGGCGTCCAAATCCATGGGCGACGCAAAACCACTCCGGGCGTCCAAATCCATGCCAATCCATGGGCACTCCGCACCCACCTCCGGGCGTCCGACTCCCTGGGCGATGCGGGGCCGAGCGCGGCCCCCCGGCCGTCCGCCGCGGCCTTCCCTTCGCGGCGCGGGGCGCGCGCGGGGGGCGCCCCGCCCAGGAGCGCGGGGGCGGCACGCCGCTCCACTGGGCCGCGCGGCGCGGCCACGCGCTGCTGCGGCGCGCTTGGCTTCGCGCGGGGGGCGGTGCGCGGCGGCGAGCGCCGCTGCGGCCGGGCGGCGACCGCGCCCGCGCAGGAGTAGGAGGAGGAGGAGGAGGAGGAGGAGGAGGAGGAGGAGGAGGAGGAGGAGGAGGAGGAGGAGGAGTAATTAGGAGTAGGAGTAGGAGTAGGAGTAGGAGTAGGAGGAGGAGCAGGAGGAGGAGGAGGAGGAACAGGAGGAGGAGGAGGATCCTGAGAACTCTGAGGGAGGTTAGATCCTGGTGGGTAGATCCTGCGTTGATGGGTCCTGCGCAGTGGCGAAGCGTCCTGGTCTGCCTATCGGCCCATACCAAATAATGTTCTGAGAGCCTCTTGTGGTCTGCGCGAGACGTTCTTAGAGCGTTTCTGGCTGAGGCTGCCTACGCATGGGGCTTGTGCTCTAAGAACCTTGTCGTTGTTCTTGGATCACTTTTGGGTTCTAAGAACATGTCGTGGTAGGCCTACAATAATGCCAGGACGGTCGGTCCCTCCTCGACAGGTCATCCCCAGACATGCCCACGTCGTGAAACGATCGGGCCTGGAGGTTCTTGGCCGTTTTCGGTCATCTCGGGGCCCTCAGCCGGGCCCCGGGACTGTCAAAGCACTACTCGCTATGAAAGACCAGCTGTTGGGAAGGGTCGGGTTTTTGGGGACACCGTATGTTCAATCCCCGTGATTTTTCATCGATTCCGTCCTCTGGGGCCCGTTATCGGGCCCCTGGACACCCACAGGCGGCAACGGGCGGCAGCTGGCTTGGTGAACCCTCGGGACACGTCCCGGCGGTAACGGCGGCGGTAACGGCCGGCAGCGGGCGGCAGCGGGTCGGAACGATGCGAACCTTCGTGACACCCCCACAGGCGGCACCGGGGCAGCAGCAAGCCAGAAGGTGGCGAATCCTCGGGCCACCCATCCAGTGCCTGAGAGTCGAGCATTGTCTTTGGGTGGAGGACAAAGGGTGAAATCTGAAATGCCGTTTCGATGGATTTTCGAGGCTTGAATCTGCAATTATCCCGGCAAAACAACCTAACAGCAATGTGTAGGAGCATATCTGGACGCATTCCCCTTAAGATTCAGATGAGCATCCAGTTGTAGAATTCTGCTGTTCTCGCAGTCGTAGTCGCATTCGCGATGACAGTCGCAGTGGCAATGGCAGTCGCAGTCACAGCCTCAGCCTCAGCCTGCCTCAGCCTCAGCCTCAGCCTGCCTCAGCCTCAGCCTCAGCCTCAGCCTCAGCCTGCAGCCTCAGCCTCAGTCTGCCTTCAGCCTCAGCCTCAGCCTCAGCCTGCCTCAGCCTCAGCCTCAGCCTGCGCCTCAGCCTCAGCCTCAGCCTCAGCCTCAGCCTGCCTCAGCCTCAGCCTCAGCCTGCCTCTGCCTCAGCCTCAGCCTCCTCAGCCTCGGCCTCAGCCTGAGCCTGCCTCAGCCTCAGCCTGCAGCCTCAGCCTCAGCCTCAGCCTGCAGCCTCAGCATCAGCCTGCCTCAGCCTCAGCCTCAGCCTCAGCCTGCCTCAGCCTCAGCCTCAGCCTGCTTCAGCCTCAGCCTCAGTCTGCCTTCAGCCTCGGCCTCAGCCTCAGCCTGCCTCAGCCTCAGCCTCAGCCTCAGCCTCAGCCTCAGCCTCAGCCTGCCTCAGCCTCAGCCTCAGCCTGCCTCAGCCTCAGCCTCAGCCTCAGCCTCTCAGCCTTCAGCCTCGGCCTCAGCCTCAGCCTGCCTCAGCCTCAGCCTGCAGCCTCAGCCTCAGCCTCAGCCTCAGCCTGCCTCAGCCTCATCAGCCTGCCTCAGCCTCAGCCTCAGCCTCAGCCTCAGCCTCAGCCTCAGCCTCAGCCTCAGCCTCAGCCTCAGCCTCTGCCTCAGCCTCAGCCTCTCAGCCTCAGCCTCAGCAGCCTCAGCCTCAGCCTCAGCCTCAGCCTGCATCAGCCTCAGCCTCAGCCTCAGCCTGCCTCAGCCAGCCTGCCTCAGCCTCAGCCTCAGCCTGCCTCAGCCTCAGCCTCAGCCTGCTTCAGCCTCAGCCTCAGTCTGCCTTCAGCCTCGGCCTCAGCCTCAGCCTGCCTCAGCCTCAGCCTGCATCAGCCTCAGCCTCAGCCTCAGCCTGCCTCAGCATCAGCCTGCCTCAGCCTCAGCCTCAGCCTGCCTCAGCCTCAGCCTCAGCCTCAGCCTGCTTCAGCCTCAGCCTCAGTCTGCCTCGGCCTCGGCCTCAGCCTCAGCCTGCCTCAGCCTCAGCCTGCATCTGCCTCAGCCTCAGCCTCAGCCTGCCTCAGCATCAGCCTGCCTCAGCCTCAGCCTCAGCCTGCCTCAGCCTCAGCCTCAGCCTGCTTCAGCCTCAGCCTCAGTCTGCCTTCAGCCTCGGCCTCAGCCTCAGCCTGCCTCAGCCTCAGCCTGCCTCAGCCTCAGCATCAGCCTGCGTTTGCATTCAAAATATGGCCCGGGAATGGAGTTCTGGGAACTCGAAGAACACGAAGTGGCCTACAGTTGGCTCCGGGCATTCAAAATCATGTCCAGGAATGGAGTTCTGGGAACTCGAAGACCACGAAGTGGCCTACAGTTGGCTCCGGGCATTCAAAATGTGGCCCGGGAATGGAGTTCTGGGAACTCGAAGAGCACGAAATGGCCTACAGTTGGCTCCAGGCATTCAAAATGTGGCCCGGGAATGGAGTTCTGGGAACTCGAAGAGCACCAAGTGGCCTACAGTTGGCTCCAGGCATTCAGAATGTGGCCCGGGAATGGAGATCTGGGACCTCGAAGACCACGAAGTGTATAACCGTTTGTTAAAACGACTTCCGCGGATCCCTGTCCGGATGCCGCCCAGACCCCCTTGGGGAGTCATGATGATCTCTTTTGACTCTATTAGAAACCTATCAGTTTTTGCTGATTGATTTGCGAGGTGCAAACGCCCATATGGATTTCACCCTGAGCCCTCCACCCTAAGAAAATGTCCAGTAGAGACGCAAGTAAGACCCCCTCAGTGCAAACACCGTTTGGGGCAGCGTCACAAACCTACCCTTTCGGATTGCCGCGCGGAGTTCCTGGATCGGCGCTGGGCGCCCCCTTGGCGGCGCCTCCGGCGCCGCCCCCGGCGCGCTCCACTCGCCAGCGAGGGGTGTCCAGCGCCGCTCCGAGAGACCTGCGCGGACCTCCGACAGTGCATGTCAGTGCTATCCGTTGTCCTCTATAGACATCCTGGAGGTCCTGTGCGGCGTGGCGCTGTGGGGAGTCCTGGCGCCGCCGACCCGATCCGATCTCGGGCTCCGAGCAGCGATGCGGCTCCCTCCAGCGCGCGGTTCGGTTCGGACCGATTCCCAGGTACCCGAGGATGAGGGAGCCTGCCCTGGCCGCCGAGCCGAGACCTCCGATGATATATATATATATATATATATGTATATATATATATATATATATATATATATCTGCCGGCGGAACAGGAGCGAGGCCGCCAGGAGTGTGCCTGCGCCCGCCATAGGGGGCTCCGGGGCTCACTTTCCCTATGCTTTTACAGGGTTTCGGCGTTCCAGGGCCGCCGAGGCGCCAGCGACGGTTCCAGGGGGCTCCGGGGCTCACTTTCCCGGTGCTTTTACATGGTTTCGGGGTTTCAGGGCCTCCGAGGCGCCAGCGACGGTTCCAGGGCCTTTCCCAGATCTCCGAACACATCTCCACTACCATTCTGCACAGGGCACGCACAGAGCGCTCCAAAACGATTCCGGGACAAGCTGCCTGCTCTTTTCTTCCTTGTGTTTTTACAGGGTTTCGGCTTCCAGGGCCTTGGAGGCGGCAGCGGCGACCCCAGACCTCTTGTTGACCTTCGGACGGGGGCCCAAGGCTAGCCCAAGAGCGCTCCAAGATCAGGACCAATCCCTCCAATAGCGGCCAGCCCCAGAGGCCCCCTCAAGCGCCCTGAAACGAATCAAGCCCCCGTAGGGAGCCCCACGGAAGGCCCCAGTGGCAAAGCTCGCATGCGGTTCCGCACCAATTTTCGGCACGCCCCTCACTCTGTTTGTGGCCCCGTAGGTGGTTCCACCGAAGGCCCCAGTGGCAAAGTTCGCATGCGGTTTCACGCCAATTTCCGGCACACCCCTCACATGTTTGGTGGCCCCATAGGGAGTGAAGGCCCCAAAGGCAAAGTTCGCATGCGGTTCCATCTCTATTTTGGCACTGGGCAGCTCCGCCGGAGGCCCGAGTGGCAAAGTTCGCATGCTGTTTCACCCCCATGTCGGCACACCCCTCATTCGGTTCGTGGCCCCATAGGGAGCTCCACCGAAGGCCCCACTGGCAATGTTCGCGTGCGGTTCCGTCCCCATATTGGTACACCCGTCACACGGTTTGTGGCCCCAGAAGTGACAGTTTCGCCATCCTGCCAATGCACGCTTACGTGCACGTTTTTTTGGGGGTTTGTTTGTTTTGTTCATGTTTGTTTTGCTATTGTTCTTGTATGCACAGTTATAAGCCTATGACTTACACTATTCTTTCTTTCCACGTATATATGTATATCAAGGTTCCTTCCAGCACCCATCCCGTTCTTCTGGAGTTCTCTTTGGTTTGATCGGACCGGACGTGGCACCCGAGGCTTCAGCTGCTGCTGGGCCACGGCGCCAGCACCACCAAGGCGGACGGCCGCCGCGCGGTACCCACCCGTGCGTGCGCGCGTGCGCGCACACGGCCTGTTGCACGTGGTGGCTGGCCGACGAGGGGGCAAGTGCTATGACCCTCAGGGCGTGCGTTAGCCCAGCGTTTGTTTCCCTCGCCCAGCTCTGGCGATCAGGCTCAGCCTGCGTCGGCCCTTATATCACGCCGACTGCGTCGTACTGAAGGGCTTCGGATGGCAAGCGCACGTTGGCACCAACACACTGTCTGAGGATCATCGACAAGTGCAAGGGCGTGGGCCCAGACCCCTTCGAGTCGTGAGGGATTCGCGACGGAATGTGCTCTCTGCCCCCTGCGGGGGGCCATCGCCGGACCTCTGGTTTGTCCAGCTGGGTCCCGGGAGGGGGTCCAGACCTTTGGGGGTCTTCGCTGTGCAGAAAACGCCACGTCGTGGTGCCTGCGAGTGTAACCCACGGGGGGCGCGAAGAGGATCGCGCTTCTCGCCTCGCGGCCTGGACAGTAGCGGCCCATCTCCCCCCCGCAGGTTGCAGACAATTCATCGACCCCAATTCCCGAGTTCCGCCCGAAAAAGTTGGCCGCTCAGAAAAGGGGGGGAACTCGGGGATACACCCCTGGGGGGCCACTCGGAGGCACCACTATCGAGGATGGACGCCCCCCCTTCGCATGTCCCCGAGTTCGGTCTCAAATGTTCAGCCCATTCAAGAACCCCACAATGTCGGGGATTGGTGTCGCCATACCTCCCGTCAACAGGTGGTATAGTCCTGCCCTTCGCGAGGAGTCGTCGCGTGTCCCTTTTATTGGGGGGGGTCACCCTGTTCACTCCGCGGGTGGTGATGCCACGGTCGACCGCAGGTGTGCGTTGTATTGCCCCCCGCAGGGGGGGTCCTTCATTGTCTTTTGCATTGTATTGCAATGGCCTTACGGCCCGTGCCGCCGACGTTGAAGGAGGAGGAGGAGGAGGACGACGACGACAAGGACGACGACAAGGACGACGACGACGACGACAGGGACGACGACGATGACGACGGCGACGACGACGACGACGACCACGGACCACGGACGACGGACGACGGACGACGGACGACGGACGACGGACGACTGACGACGGACGACGGACGACGACGACCACGACCACGACGACCACGACGACCACGACGACCACGACCACGACCACGATTTCGATGACGACGACGACACCAGTAGTCCCCCGCAGGTGGCCGAACGGTCTTACTCCATCCCTCGGCCCATGGCTGACGCGTGCTCCTGCGGCCCGAATTCTTTCTGCTTGTTGTCTTGGCGCCGTCCCACCCCGCGACCCACCCCGCGACCCACCCCGCGACCGACCCGCGTGTGTTGTCTCGTGTCGATATGTGCTTCCTGGCCTGCAGCGGGGCCTCCGCGGGCCCGCGGTGGGCCCAGGAGGATGCAGAGCCGTCTTCCTCCCGCGCTCGGAGGGCGCAGAATCCCTCTCCCCGTGGCCCTCCTCCTCCTCCTCCTCCCCCTCCTCCTCCTCCTCCTCCTCCTCTCCTCCTCCTCCTCCTCCTCCTCCTCCTCCTCCTCCTCCTCCTCCCCCGCGTTCTGGGGTAACGTGGGACCCGACGTTCTGGGGCCGCGTGGGCTGAGGCTGCAGAAATCTCCTCCCTCCCTCCCTCCCTCCCTCCAGTCCTGTCCCTTCGACATGATTCCGCCCTGTCGCATGCCGAGGCCGGTCGGAAGGGCGGGCTGGGCGTTTCGCCCGAGACCCACCCACTTTTTCTGATGCTGGAGCTTGGAATCTGCAACAGCTTTACAGGTGGAGGGCGGCGTGCTTTCAAAGTGTGGCTCTCGCCCCAGCGCCGCGCACATTCGCATGACATGCGTGCACGAGATTTGCGGATGGATGGCGGTCCGTTTTCAAAACGATGCTCTCGGAAGTGCGTGGCATGCGATTTTCTGCATCGCGTGAGCGCCTGGTCGTTGTCGCCCGCCCGTGCCCCGAGCGGCCGCCCCGCTGCCGGTGGAAGACAGGCTTGACTCTCCGCAGGAGGCGTCTGCACAGCACCACCGTGCCTGGCCATGAACAGACACGACGGTGGTGTGCAGGGACGCCGTCTGCGCAGACTCGACTTGACCCCTGCCCTCAGCATCGTTGGGCACGTCGTGCTCTTGCACGCAGCGTGGAGGCGTGGAGCCCCGGAGGTCTGGTTTCCTTCCCCGCGACCGATTTCTCATCCCGAGCCGATCGTTCGATGGTCCTGGAGGCCGATCAGAATTACACATGCTCTGCCGTTGGTGTTTCGCACCGCGAGGTCTGGGCTCTGGATGGGGTGCGAGTAGATGGGGTCGGAGGGTCGCCCCGCATCGCCGATGCATCGGCCTTGTGGCCGATGCATCGACTTTCTCCACGCCGACGGCGTCGATGCGTCGCCGATGCATCGGCACTGCGGCGCGATTCTCTGACCCCCCATCTGCTCGGACCCAGCTGGGAGGCCTCTTATGGGCCCTCCCACGGGTCCATCCCGGTCTGCCTCTCGAGCCGCTGCCGCCGCCGAGTGGAGTGAGGGGCAGGGCTGCGTTGCGACGGGGGGTCTCCGTGCCATCTGAGGGACAGCGCTCGGAGGCGTCTCCTGGGTGGTTGGATTCGGCATCGGCGCTGGTATGTCAGGAGCCGTGCCTAGACGGCACACCGGATGCAGATCTCATGGGCGGGTGTAGTCGTGCGCAATGGCACTCCAGCGTTAGATGGGATTGTGTGTAGAACTCTGCACGCTCGTGCCCGTCGACGCCACGAGGCTCACAAGGTGGACGACCTGGCAGAGAGCAGCGGCAGGAGGGGGCAGAGAGCGGGACAACACCCGGGGACCAGGACGAGCCCACGAGCCGGGGGAGGGAAGAGCAAGCGACAAGCTACGACACCCGACAGGGTAGGAGGGCGAAGCTCTGGGCGATATGCCCGAGGGACTAATGTCCGTGGTCGAAAACAGGTCCCCATCCGTCCTAATCCCGTTAAATCCGAATAAATTTCTGGCGAATCCTACGCAGTGCCGCTTAATTATTCACGCTCCGTGTATCCCCGCCGGCCTATCCAGAAGCGATCGCCCAGGCGAGTTGCCCCGATCAGGGATGTGTAGGAGCACTCAGTGGAACAAAGAGTGGGGCAGCCATCGAATCAAGGGTCCGGCTCAGCCTGCGCAGAACCAGGAGTCAACCATATAGACCCTCTCGAGTCTTTTGATATGGGAACCTCTTTACAGCCTACTTGGACCATGTCCCCTCTTGGGGTCATTTTTCAAGCATTTTGGGGTCTCTTGATACTCTCTTGGGGGCGTCTGGGGCCCTCTTGGGGCCGCCCATCTTGGAGGCCATCGATCAAATAAGGGTGCGGCGCGGACAAGGAGGCGGCGCGGATTACTGCCCCTCCCCTTGGCTCGAGGGGTCGCCTTCTGGGGCCCTCTCTTGGGCTGCTCTTGGGGCGCTCTTGGGGGCTGCTGGCGCCGTCTTGGAGCGGGGCTTGTTGATTGATCCTCTTGGCCCACGCTCTCGTTGCCACGCTTCGACTGCAGGCCTGCGGCCGCCCCGGTCTTCAGTACCGGTTCACCGATCCCTGTCCCCATCTCCACCATCCCGATCCCCACCATCCCACCACCCCAGGTGGGGGCTGTGCCCCTCGAGACTCGGAGGGAGGAGCCTCTGTTGACTTCAGGGAGGGCAGATCGGCCAGTGGGGCCCAGGCCACGCCCGCGTGGATTTAGGGATGTCGACCCCGAGGCCGCCCAGGCGCCTGGGCCATGGCTGCGACGACGACGACGACGCCTGCTGGAGCAGAGCTGGCCGCCGCGCGGCCGTCGAGTTTCTCGGCGCGCCCTCGGCCGAGCCGCGCCCGTCGCCCCGCCAGGAGGACCGCGGGGGCCGCTCGGCCGCGCAGTGGGCGCGGCTCACGGGGCACGAGGGCGCCGCGGGGCTGCTGGAGGGCGTGGCCGGGGAGGCGGCGCCCAGGGGCCTTCGTCGGCTCCCCGCCTCTGGGGGGGCACTCCCTTTGAGAGGGAGTGGATGAGGAGCAGGAGTAGCACAGGGAGGATGAGGAGGAGGAGGAGGAGGAGGAGGAGGAGGAGGAGGAGGCTCTTCCTCCTCCTCCTCCTCCTTGCGCTGCTCTTGCTCCTGCGACTATTTGGGGAAGTCCGTACGGCCGGTGCCGCCGACCCTGAAGGGGGACGACGACCACGATGGCGGCGTCGGCGGCGAGGACGACGCTGACGTGGGGCAGAGTCCTCAGGGATGCTTCGTGGGACCTCTTCGGAGTGCGCCCAGAGGCCTCCGTAGGGCAGTTTGGGGCCTCTTGGGAGCGTCTTGGGCGCCTTTGGGAGCCTTCTGGGGTACCTTCGGGCTTCCTGGGGGCCTCTTGGGAGCCTCTTGGGGCCTCGTGGGGGCCTCGTGGGGAAGGGCCAAAGCGAGAGCATGATTCCTGAGTGTCGAGGGCGCGGCGTCTGAGTAAGTTGCGAGGACGTCCCATTCGAGAGCGCGATTTCTTCATACACTGAGGAGTCCCGCGCGAGAGCACGATTTTATGATAAATGGTGATGAAATTAGGTGGAAGCCGATGTTATTCTTGTCATCTGGGGCCCAACAGCGCAGTTTGGTGACACCACACGTTCCCTCACAAAGATACAGGGCGCAAGTCCCAGAATTCAACAGCAACAGCAACATCAGCAACGACAGCGACAACGACAACGACATCCACAACGGCAACGGCAACTACAACGACAACGACAACACCACCACCACCAACAACGTTTTCAACAACAACACCAGCCGCAGCAGCAACAACAACAACGGCAACGACAACGTCAACAACAACGACAACAACACGACAACAGCAATAATGACAACAACAACAACAACAACACCGACAACAACACCAACGACACCACACCATCAGCAACAACAATCCTGGCCGCAGAACCCCACCTCAGCCACGCACCTATCGACAATTACTTACCGCTCGACCCCCTCACTCTGATGTGATGTAGTGGGACGGTCGAGGTCGAGAGGTGTTCTTCAAACGCGTGTGTGCGTGTGTGTTTCTGTGATGGCGAGGGGGCGGGGGTGCAGGGGTGCAGAGCGAAGTTATAACGAAGGAAGGCTGCATAATTCTTGCGCGCGTGCGCATGTATAATTATATATATATGTGTGTGTGTGTGTGTGTGGATGTGTGAGTGTGTGTGTGTGTGTGTGTGTGTGTGTGCGTGTCTGTGCGCTTGTGCGGGTGTGCGCGCGTCCGTGTGTACTGGCGTTTGCGAGTGTGCGTGTGTTTGCGTGTGTGTGAGTGTGTGTGTGTGTGTGTGTGCGGGCACGTGCGTGTGTGTGCATATTGGTTGCGCCGAGGTGACGGGGGTTGGGCGGAGGCAACGCCATCCAATGACCGTGTGGTTGAATGATTTCTTATACGACCACCCTTCGGGTGATAAGGAGGTTGGGGGGAGGGGGAATAACCAGTTGCTGGCAACCGCGATGGGTGTGATGTTGACGATGCTGGTGGCGCGCCCTCGATTTGGCGACGACGCGTGGTTGCGACTATCGATGCAACTATCGATCTCACTATCGGTCTCACTGCCGCTCGTACGATCGATGCAACTACAGATCACCACATCGGGTGTTATCGAGCCCACCATCGATCTCACCAACGATCGGGGCACCTCGGGGACACCACGGAGGAAAACCGCAGGACACCGCGGGACATCATTGGCCGCCGCAGGACACCGCCAGGCACCTCTGGGACACTGCGGGGCACCACGGGACACCACGGGACACCACGAGACACCAACGGGACATCATTGCGGGACACCGCGGGACACCATCGGGACAACGCGGGACACCACGGCAGGACACCCCCAGCCTTCGCGCGCCCACGGGAGGGCCGGACTTTTGCATCCGACTCGCCCGAAGCGGCGGTGGGAGCATTCCTCCCGCGCGCCCACAGCGAGGCACCGCGGGACGCCCTCGGGATGCCGCGAGACACCACGGCGGGACACCCCCGGCCCCTCGCGTGCCCACCGGAGGGCCGGACTTTGGCATCCGAGTCGCCCCACCGACGGCGGGAGCATTTCTCTGGCGCGCCCACGCAGCGTGGCCTCGCCCGCAACACGAAACCGAGACTGACTTCCTGGTGGGGGGCTCTGGGGGTTCCCACTGCGATCTCACCCCCCCAATCTCCGACGATTGCGCCTGCGCATGTGAGCGCATGCCTCTGCGTGTCTGTGCGCGTGCGTGTCCGCGTGTTTGTGTGTCTCTCTGTTCGTGTGTGTGTGTGTGTGTGAGTGTGTGTGTGTGTGTGTGTGCGTGCGTGCGTGCGTGTGTGTGTGTGTGTGTGTGTGTGTGTGTGTGTGTGTGTGTGTGTGTGTGTGTGTGTGTGTGTGGGCGTGTGTGTGTGTGTGTGTGTGTGTGTGTGTGTGTGTGTGTGCGTGCATGCGTGTTGCATGGTGGCCCAATTTGCACACCGTTTGCCACGTTATGCCTCTTCCGCCAGCGCAGTCCCTCCGCCTAGCCGCCGACGTAAAAAGTATGTGTGTGTGTGTGTGCGTGCTCGGGCCATCCCCCCTCAAATTGGCAGTTTCCGATCTGGTCCTGGTGAACCAGGGGGAGGAAGAGTTTGAGATTCCCGGTGACCCGCAAGGGGTCGACGGATTCCTTATCCGGGCAGTTGGTACTAAACGCCAGGGTGCGCGCGTGCTTGCGAGTGGGTGTCAACTCGAGTCTCTGTCCTCTTGTGTGTATGGGATATGCGTTCAGGTGCGCGCGCTGGTTCTATTAAATCTAAATGTATGTAATGTATGATGTTATGTATATGTGCATTTACAGATGTATACATGTATTGGTACGCATCAGTGTACACACATGTATAATCCGGCGGGCGTCCGGGGCCCGGGCCCTTCGCACGAATACCCTGAGCGTTCGAACACCTCACCCCAAGGAGCCCCCGTGGAGCCATCGTGGACGCCTTTTGGACCCCTCGCGCTATGTTGCCCCCATCGTAATGAAGGACCACATCCCAGAAATAATTTCGAGCACCCAGAAAAGTGTCGAAAGAGTGTCGAAACAGTGTCGAAACAGTGTCGGATGAGTGTCTCCCAGGGCCCGACACGCGAAAACCCTTGAGTTTTGGTCTTTTTTTTTCTGTGCTCAAAACTCTTTCTGGTGGTCAAGGCTACAGTAGGTTGGAACATCATAACCCTGGCGGGCCTCCCTTCCTCACCCCTCCGCCCGCCCCCCCCAACATGTACATCTACCTGGGGAGGGAAATCGGGGGCCCGAAACCGGGACCTCGGACCCCCAATCTGGTCCGCCACTCCTTCAGGGCCTCCCGGAGCCCTTCCTGGCCGCTCAAGGGAGCCCCCCAGAGCTTCTGGAAGGGCCAAAGGGGCCCTAGAGAGCCCCAAGGACGGCCCACGAGGGCCCCGAGTCGCCTAACGGTCGCTCCATGACGTCAAGATTGCCCAGAAGGTTTCCGAGACGGCCCAAGAGAGCCCTAAGAGCATCCCTAAGAGAGCCTCGAGATGCCAAAATAGTATATTCCCTGCTGGTTTTCAAGATGTGTGCAGTTCATACCTTTCCTGGGCTTCGACCGCCCACGACGGCCCAGGAGGCTTCGAAATCATGCGAGGCGCCGACAAGATGGTCCCAAGACGGCCCGAGAGGGTCCCAAGACGGCTCAGCGGGCCGCCAAGGCGGCCCAATATGCTCCCAAGACGGCCCAAGACAGGCCCACAAAGGGGAAAGCGAAGGCGCCATGGGGCCAGGATAGTTCCCGAGACCGCCAAGAAGTCCACAAGAGGTCCCAAGGTCCCCCCAGCAGGCCGCAGGACGCCCCCAAGAGGCCCCCAGGAGGCCTCCCAAAGTCGGCCAAACGGCTGGCAAGAGGTCCTCCAAGAGGCCCCAAGAGGCTCCTACGAGACATCTAAGAGCGAGGTATCCCAAGAGGCCCCCAGGAAGTATCCGAGGAGACCCTGACATGCAACTCACACGCCTCTGACCCACGACCCAGACATGGTGCCAGGATGGGCCGACAACGCCCGAGAGCGTCTGAAGAGGGGCCGAGAGAGGCCCTGGACAGCCCGGAGAGATCCCCCAAATGGCTCCCCGGGGTGTGAGATCGGCCACGAGCACCCTGGGAGAGTCCAAGGACCCCCAGAGAAGGCACAGAGTCCCCAAGGCGCCCGAGAGGCTCTCCAAGAGGCCCTGAAGAGGCACTCAACGCGGCTTCCAAGAGACCACCAAGACCCACCACCTTGGAAATTCGAAGGCGAACCTGACGTTTTGGAAGCCCTCGCCTTTTCGCTTGCGATTCCGGAGAATGCGTCCCGGACCGCGCTGGGTTCGGTCTTCTCCCTCTGTCGATCCACCTTGTGGAACGACAGCTCCAGTGGCCACTTGGCGAATGGGGCTCCAGGAGACTTCCTGAGACCCGACGAGGCCTCCAAGAGGCCCCAAAGCCCAGGGCATAACCTGAAGGCCCATCAAGTTTCCTGATGGAGCGTGTTCTGGAGTATGCGTCCCGGGACACGCTGAGTTCCGTCATCTCCCGCGGCCACCTTTCCTGCCTACCTGCACGGCTCATACCAGTTCCTGATAGAGCGTGTTCCAGATAATGCACCTTCTTCTGCAGTGGTCGCCCTCTGACGTTTTGCGAGTTCTCGCTTTTAGGCCAGGAAGAGGGCGTCTTGGGGATGTGTTGGGAGGTGTCGGGGGTGGCACCAGGCCCAAGATGATCCCAGACGCAGCGCGTTCCAGATGGCCCCTCTCGGAATGCGCTCGATTCCAGAAGGCCACACGCTGTCCTACAGCCTCCACGAGGCTCTAAGGCACAATCCATTAGCTGAACGCCCGCAACGTTTCCAGATGGAGCGTGTTTCGGATAATGGACTCAGGGCACGTAGCCGAGCGACATCGAGGGCCGAGTGGAAACGTACACGTGCGACTAGAACTTAAGCGCGCGCGAAGTACACATGTAGACATACATATATACACATGTATTACATTGAATCTGTACGCATGCATTTCTTGTGCATGCGTGTGCACATCTATATATACATATATATATATATATGTATATTTATACATACACACGGACATTAGTCTGCGTGCGTGGCGGTATGGACATACGAACGTATGCATGTATGCATGTATGCGTGTGACTGTGAGTATGTATGCATGCATTTATGCATACATTTATGCATGCATGCATGCATGCATACGCGCATGCATGTATGTACGTACGTATGTATGTAGGTATGCATGTATGTAATGCAGATGCAATGCAGCTGCAATGCAATGCAATGCAACGTGCTGTAACCCTAACCCACTGCACAGCAAACCAATACCATGCCATGCCATGCCATGCCATGCAATACCATGCCATAACATGCCATGCCATGCCATACCATGCAGGTATTCATGCATGTATGCATGCACGTATGTATGCATTAACGTCTGTATGTGCGTACGTACGTCCGTGCGTAGGTATGTATGTATGTATGCATGTATGCGTGTATGTGTGTCTGTGTGTAAATGTGCACCTGTGCATGTATGTATTCATGCATGGGTTCATGAATGTGTGCATGTATGCGTGTATGCATGTAAGCATGTATGCATGTAGGTATGCATATCTGCATGCACGTATGCATGTATGCATGCGTGCATGTACGCATGTATGTCTGTAGGCATGTATGCATGTATGTCTGTCTGTCCGTCGGTCTGTCTGTCTGTCTGTCTGCCTGCCTGCCTGCCTGCCTGTATGTATGTATGTACCTATGTATGTATGTATGTGTGTGTGTATGCATGCATGTATGTATGTATGTATGTATGTATGTATGTATGTATGTATGTATGTATGTATTTATGTATGTTTATGTATATAGTTAATCATGCACACATGTAGGTATACGTGCATGCATGTACAACGGTATGCGTGTATGTATGCATGCTTGTATATATTTATGCAGGTATGCATGCATGTATGGGTGTAAGACTGTCTGTCTGTCTTCCTGTCTGCTTGTCTGTCTGTATGCATATGTGAATGCATGCATGTAGGTATATATCTATATGTATATATACATCTGTGGATACAGTCGGTTATCTGGGATGGCAACGACCGCGGCGGCAGCGACGACGGCGGCGAACACCGCGGCGGCGGTGGCGGCAGCGGCCGCGGCAAGCAGGCCGGGCGCAGCGGCGAGCCCGCCCGGAGGCCTCGCGGGCGCCTGCCGCGAGCTCCGCGGCGTCCGCAGGCGAGCTCCGCAACGGCCTCCCGCGCTCGTCCATCCGCCTTTGCTTCAGCTGGCCTCGCCCTTCTCTCTCCTCTCTCCTCCCTCCTCCTCCTCCTCCTCCTCCTCCTCCCTCCTCCCTCCTCCCTCCTCCCTCCTCCCTCCTCCTTCTCCTCCTCCCCCTCCTCCTTCTCCTCCTCCGTAGCCATTTTGGCTCAAGATGCCTAGTTCCGCAGGGGAACAAGTGGATACCGCTAGTCCGCGGCCAGTGCCAGGGCTCTTGAGCCCGACAGCTTTCAACTCTCCGTGTGCCTCCTGCTGCCCGCAGGTGAGCTTCCTCTTTTCCTCAGATCGTCCATGGCGCCTCCGCAGCAGCGCAGCGCCTACGTCAAGTGCTACTCCTGCTCTTACGCCTGGAACTGGAAGACCAGGCAGACGTGCCACTGGTGTGGCAAAGCCTTGGCGCCGTGGACAGATGCTACGCCTCCGATTCAAGGAGCTTGGGCGGCCCGTGTCTCAGCCGCAGCCCAGGCCGAGTCCAAGTGCACACAGCAGTCCAGCCCCGAGGGAGATTGGGAACCGTGGTCATCATGGCCCAAGTCCCGCCGCCGCCGCGGCAAGGGCAATGCCAAGGACCAAGAGGACGACTGGTGGGCCAGCAAGAACGACACCCCCAAGGCTCGCTCCGCCGAGGACATCCTGGCGGAGCTCCAGGCGATCGCCCCCCACATCGACAAGGCAGCCATCGACGGCATCAAGTCGCAGATACCGCCGCCCCAGCCTCAGAAGCCGGCCGACCTCAACGACATCTACAGCCGCGCCCAGGCTTCGGAGCGCCGCTGCAAGAACAACCTGGAGAGGCTGCTCGAGAGCGAGCAAAAGGCGCTCAGCTGGTACACAGAGCGCAAGCAGGCGTCGGAGGAGGCCGCCTACAAGCTGGCAGAAGCCCAGGCCGAGGCCCAAGCGGCCCTCGACGCTCTCCAAGCCGCTCGCAAGGGCGGCACAGCTACTCCTACGCCGTCGCAGCAGAACCCGACGTTCAACCTCACCAGCCTCCTCGAGGACGGCGACATCTCTATCGAAGCGGGTGCGGCGTTCGATCTCCAAGGCCTCGACATCGACGACAGCGACCGCCAGGCATGGGAATCCCTCCAACAGCGCTTCGCCACGGAGCTCAAGGCCAAGGTCACGGAGCTCTTCGGCAACACCGCCAGCCGCATCAGCCAGCTCCGCGCAGAGGCCAGCACCATGCGCACGCGCTTCGCTACCAAGCGTCAGCGCGATGACGAGCATGGACACGCCAGAGAGGGAGGTGGACCACCGCCCGCCGCCGCGGCTGCAGCAGGCGAACCCCCAGCGGCAGCCGCAGCAGACGCTGAGGGCACTGCGCCCTCTTCGCCAGCGGCGCCAAGCGATGAGCCCCCCGCACCTGCTGCTGGCGCTGCTTCTGACGGCGGCCATGCCACACAGCCTGTGCCAGCACTCAACAAGGACCCCGACCTCGAAGACAAGGCACAGAAGATGCTCAGCCAGATGCGCAAGCCCACTGCGACCGCCGCGGCTGGAGCGCAGCAGCCTCTTTAGCCGCCTACAACCCGACCCTGGACGGAATGGTGAGACGGGACGCCTACCGTCAGAGACCAAGTGCTACGACAACCCACCCATCATCAACACAATGGACGCAGTCCTCGACCCGTTCGACGAGCTGGCCGAGTTGGACGCCCACATCGATTGCGAATTCACAGATCAGTACGATACCGCCCCGCCCGAGACGCTGTCCTCGGTAGGGGGCGATGAGGCGGCGCAGTCCGTCGACCCCGTGGTAAGAGACCCAGGGCAGCCGCAGCGTCCAGCGCGCGCCGACCCTGATGCCGCTCCGCCCGAGACGCTGTCCTCGGTAGGGAGCGATGAGACGGCTCAAGCTGTCGACGGGCAGATGGTTCAGGAACCAGGGGGGGCCTCCTCCAAAGGCAAACCCTGACGCCGCCCCGCCCAAGACGCAGTCCTTGGTAGGGGGCGATGAGATGGCGAAAGCTGTCGACACGACCGCAGGGAAATGGTCATGGAAGCCCAGCAGCCCGAGAGCCGACCCCAGACCCGCCCACCAAGACGAATGCCATACGAAGCCTACACTGTCAGACCATTCCCTGTTCTTCTCCAACATTACTCAGTGGGGGCCACAGTCGGAGAGATGGCTGGCAGGGCCAGGCAAACAATATCAGATGGTAGCTTTGGTTGAAACACACATCTCGTCTGGGAAAGCGCCGCTCATCTACGACAAGCTAGCAGCGGACGGTTGGAGGATTTCATCGACTACGGCCACGCCTACCAACAGATCAGACGGCGGCAACACGGGTGGCGAGATCATCCTTTCCAGGTACCATGTCCAGGCCACCACGTTCAACCACCTCCGCGACCTCGCCATCTCCCAGCGCAGGCCCGACCCCTTCCTCGGCTTCACGCCCATGGTTTGGCACAGACGCTCTGGTAACCTAGTTGTTATTGCAGCGTATCTGGAACCCCACAGGCAGATCGAGGGTGCAGTGCACGATAAGCTACTTTCGCTGGGAGCCTTCGTTACTATGCTCACGGACCCTTGGATCATCCTGGCCGATTGGAATACGACACCAGAGCAGCTCGCAGCGACAGAGTGGCTCGCCAAATGGAATGCGTCCATCGTGCGAGCACCTGGATCCGCCACGTGCGACAAGGGCCAGGGACTCACGCTTGATTTCGCATTGGTCAAGACTGGCATCGAGCACACGATCTCCATTCGCCAGTGCCCCACCGTACCCTGGGCCACCCATGTCGGCCTCGAAGTTCGAGCAGGCAGTGCTGACCCCTGGTGGTATCAGACGATACATACTCCCACGGCATTCCCCATAGTGGACAGACCCAGGATCCCGCCAGACCCCAACAGCAAGACCGCCATCAAGAAACGTAAAACAGCTGAAGCTCGAGCAGCACGTCTACGCGATCTACCCCCTGAACTCCAACAAGCAGCAGCACAGCTCCAGCCACAAGACGAGCCCGCAGCACAGGAACCTATCCCTTATGCTATCCCGATGGACTTGTGGGAAGAACAATGCCAGGAAGCAGTACCCACACGTTGTAAGCAGCCCCACGCGCACTTCGTGTACACACACTGGGAGCACGACGCCGACGACCTCAACCTCAAGTATGCCAAATGGGTCACGGCGCTCGAGAACACCATGATCAGCCACCACCAGATCGACCCGAAGGAAGCCGCAGCATACACAGGCAGAGCCCAAGGCTACCAGTTATTGTGGAAGAAGACAGCCGCCGCCCCAGGCCGCGTACACGTACACGACCCTCAGTCGGAATGGTGGGCAATCACGCTCACCCTCATCAAGCGCTACGCCGCGCTTCACGACAAGCCCAAGCACATTGCGCTCATGCGGCAGCAGGCCTCCATCATCCAGCAGCGCGCGGACCACTTCAACACCCACATGCACGACCTCCAGTTCGAGAAAGATGAGGACACCATCTTCCGCTGGTTTGCACTCGTCTGGGCCCCGCGCCTGGACAAGGATGACACCGACGACTTGGTCACCATTACCGCTACCTGGGCCTCCAGAGCTCTCTCGGCCGCCCTCGCCAAGTCCAAGAGGGCCTACGGGGCTTGGCTAGCCCAGCAATGGAAGCACCGCCCTGGAGTACTACACGCCCATGTCAAGCCAGCGCCCGTTCGTCACATCGAGGCCTACACGACCAACATGACCATCGCCGACCCCACCGTTATCATGGACAACAAGAAGCGACAATGGCAACAAGTATGACAAGCCACCGAGACCTCTGATGACATCCTACATGCCCTGTCAAAGGCCAAGGCAGCAGCCTCTCACCAACCGCTTGAGCCCATCACAGCCGAAATCGTACACCGTTTCCACAGCCGCATGCCACCCAGTAAAGCACACGGAGTTGACGCCCTAGGACCTCGCGGCCTCCATCGACTACCAGAACCAGCAGTTGAAGCGTATGCAGATATTCTCAACTCAGTAGGGCAAGCAGGCATCTGGCCACTACAAATTTCAGGCACTATTGCAGCTCTCGCCGCCAAGAAGTCTGGAGGCGACCGAGTCCTCGGCATGCTACCTCATATGGCCAGACTCTGGTCTCGCATTAGATCGACTGCATCGACAGCCTGGACACAAAGTCTGGACGATTTTTGGACTACAGCCATCAAAGGCTCCTCAGCTCTCCAAGCGGCCCTACATAGGGCCTTGTTAGAAGAGACAGCCTCAGCACTTGGCATACAGTCGGCCACCTTGCTATTAGACATCCAGAAGTTCTACGACAATATTAAGCTCGCCAACCTCATCATGGTCGGCCTCAACTGCGGCTTTCCCTCCATCATTCTTTTACTGGAAGTACAGCTTTACCTGGCGCCCAGGTTCTTGCGCAGTCGACAATGGGTGAGTATGCCTATCTTCGCCTCCAAAGGCATCATTGCAGGCTCCCCTCACGGCACCACATTGGCACGACTCATTTTACTACCAATTCTTCGACAAGCCCAAGCTCAGGCAGAGCTTGCCCAGATGTGGACCTTCGTAGACGACGCTGTTCTTCGAGTCGAAGGAGTCCTACGCGCCCTACACAAGCATCTCCCCCGTGCCGCCAAGGCGCTCTGCGACGGTTTAAAGGAGTTCGAGCTGCCTATCTCAGACAAGACCGTCCTCATCGGCGCCACCCCCAAGGTCCGCCACTCGCTAGCCAAGAAAATGCGACGGTCCGACATCCCAGTTACTGCGTCCGCCACGGCCGTCGACCTCGGAGTAGACGCGGCCGCGGCTACTCGACGAGTACAAGCTAAAGCCAGGAAGCGACAGAGCTCAGCCACAGCTAGGTTTCGCAAGATACACCGACTTCGGAGCACTGCACAGCAGGCCCGAATCTCAGCTGGACTGTGGCGCACTGGCGCTCTCCCAGAAGGAGTATTTGGGCATCAGGTGCGCGGCCTCGCTCGGCACGCTCTACTACGATGGCGGCGTCAGGCCGCCATTGCAGCCACGGGCGCTGCAGCGGGCCGATGCCTCACTTCCCTCCTCGGCGCCACCTTCGACGGCATGGACCCAGGAGTTTTCCTTAGGATCGAGTTCATAGAGGCATGGCTTCAGCACTGGATACGCCACCCGAGCACGCGCGCCAGGATCATCAGGGCCTGGCCAAGGATCAAGACCACCTTGCTCGCTGCAGGCCTCAAGCTGTGGTGCAAGGTCAAGGGGCCCACAGGCGCGGCCATCGCGACTCTGCTGGAGGCCAGTTGGGATCCGGCCTCAGCTACCACCTGGAGGCGTACAAAGGACGGCTACATTGAGGAGTGGAACCTCCCCCCAGCCGATGACCCTGACCTCCTTGACGCCGACATTCGCACAGTTTTGCAGGACCTCAGCGAGGATTTACACAAGCTCCTCTGGACCCAGGCCGCTACGCATGCCCATGGTGACACGCTGGCTGGAGGCGCAGACTTGGTCACTATCCGCATTGAACAAAGGAGGTTCCTCGCAAACGGCGACTTCAGCGACTGGGCCCTCAACAACACCATCATCAGCGGAGGACAGTGGACCAGAGACCGCCTCCACAACGCGGGCTATCAGATCGACATGAACTGCGACCGATGCAGCGCTGGAGTTCCTGAAACCTTGGTTCACCGAATGTGGCAGTGCGAGGCGAATGTGGGACCTGAGTTTGAGGCCAGTGACGAGCTACTGCCGCGTGCCGTGGCGGGGGTCGATGCCGACCCCGCCCTGTGGCTCCGTGGCATTCCCTCTGTCGCTCTCACCACGCCCACGTTCGAGCCATTGACTGGGAGGGACGGGTGGGAGTTTGTTGGGGCGGTGCGGGAGGGATTGCCGTCTTGGGAAGGAGCTCGTAACGCAGAGGGCGAGTTGTATCTTTTTGGAGACGGGTCTGGCGGGGCCTTTTCCGACGACGTCAGACGACGTCGCGTTGGTTCTGGCCTCGCGGCCCTCCGTTTGGACCCTCCCTCGGCCTCCTGGACCCTCCACGCGGGCCTCCTTGCCCCCCTCCCAGGCCCCCGCCAGACTGTCCCAAGAGGCGAATTATATGCGTTTTGCCTGGCACTTGAGACGTGCCAGCAGGATTTCACGTTTGTTACTGATCACCTAGCCTTGCAGCGAGGTTGGCAGAATGGCAGATGTCTCAGGCCTGGCGGCCTTGGAGGTAAGACTAAGAATGGGGATCTCTGGCTGAGGATTCGGCACCTCGTGCAGGATCGACCTGGCGGCGTCTCCTCGGTCACGGTGCTCTGGACCCCATCTCATGCCGATCCCCAGACTTTGCATGGTTTCCAACAATTTCTTGCTCTCGGCAACCAGCAAGCCGACGAGCTCGCGGGGAGCGCGGCCCACAAGTCGGCCACCCTTGCTCTCCCGCCTGTTCCCAGGACCGATGAATACGATGCTATCGCAGCCATCGTCCGACAGAGGGCACGACTGATCCTTCGTTCCTCAGGTAAGAATTCAGAGCCTCGAGGACTGTGGCCAGAGAGGCAACCCACCCAGGAGGCAGCCCCTCGTTCTATGTTGCAGACCGCGATTGCGGCGTCTCAGCACAAATTCGAGCGGTGTGCAGATAAATGGCGATGCTCTGTCTGCCTCATCATCGTCGATTCTTGCCACGTTTTTCCAGCTGCCGCCACGGAGTGTGTTCCGCCTTGCCCCCTTCCCGAGTTTGCTGCGTGTGGCGAGGTGCTGTGGGCGCGGGGTCCCCGTGTGATCAGTGGCAAGGCTATGCACCCCTCCCACACGTTGGCCACTATCCCCAGGTGGCAAATGTTCTTTTGTGTGAAGTGCGGCCACACGGCTACGCACCAGGTTAAAAGCCTACAGTTTCCTTGCCCTCTCTCCCACCAAGTGGGAGAGCGCAGGGCCCTGGGACCCACTGGCAAAGGCTTCGAAAACCTCAGCAGGATCAGGCGAGGCCTTCACCCGTCCAGATCGGGTCCCAGCAAGTCTGTTTTAGAGGCCATGCACGTTTCGGCAGCCGCAACCGCGATCGGTTCCTACGCGGTAGGTGCTGCCTCCGAGTAGATTGTGAGGCCAGGGGGGCCTGTCGCGGTGTGCCGTGGGATGTCGCCCCCCACGGTCCTCCGAGAAATATTGGATGGCCCCCCTGGCGTCTCTGGGTTTCGAACGGACTACGTCCGATTGCTCCACTCCACTCCTCCTTCTCCTCCTCCTCCTCCTCCTCCTCCTCCTCCTCCTCCTCCTCTCTCCTCCCTCCTCCTCCCTCCTCCTCCCTCCTACCTCCTCCCTCCTCCCTCTGTCAGCGCCAGCTGGCACGAGCCGCTGCTCTGCGCCAGCCAGCGCCATCGGCGCTTCCCCGCGCCGCCTCCCCGCTCTCCCCTGCCCCCGTCCCCTCGGCCGCGCTATGGAGGCGCCTCCCGCGGCCACCGCAAGCCGCCGCAGGCCGCCGCGGAAGGCTGCCGCGCGTCGCGCGCAGTGCACGAGGGCCGAGGCGCGCGCGTCAGAACACCTTCTGCGCGCCTTCGCAGCCCTCACCAGCCATCGTGGCCGCCAGCCATCGCAGCTGGCCCAGGCGGTGGCCTCGGCGCTGGCGGCGGCGCCAACGCCCTCTGCGCAGCGGGGCGCAGCGGCCTCTCCCTCTCCGGATGCTGTCGCTCCCGGTGCCCATGGAGGCGACGCGGCGGCTGCAGTCCCCTCGTCTCCGCTGGCAGCGGGACCAGCGGCCATGGCTGCCGAGGCGGGCTTTCCAGTCCACGGGGTTCTCGGTCAGCGGCTGGCGGCAGCGGGCGACGACGTGGTGGTCCCGGAGGGCGAGTTCACCTCCCCCTCTGCCCCCCCCTCTGCACGGCCTCCTTTTCTTCCCCGCGGCACCCCAATCCCAGGCTTTCCGCCTAGGACGCGGGCGGAGGCTGATCCAGGCCCCAGCCCTGCCACTGCTCTAGGCCTCGCGCAGGGCTTATGCCCGACACCATTTTTTCGGCAAGTATCTGTACCTTCACGGCCGTCAAAGCCAGTACCACTCCCAGTGCGCCCTGCAGCGCCAGCGCCGCCAGCACCTTCACGACCGACAGGGCCGGTGCCAGTGCCCTCACGCCAGCCAGAAGCAGTGCCAATGTCAGTGCCGTCGCCAGTGCAGCCATCATGTACGCCACCGGGGATCACAGCAGCGGAGGCGAGGGCCTGCCGCGCTGTGCTGTCAGCCTCGAGTAATCTGTTCGCGGCCCCGCAGCAGTCACAGGCAGACCCAGTGCCAGGGGCGCAGCTGCCGAGCCCCACTGTGCTGAGTCCGCCACGCCACGACGACTCTAGGCCCTTTTTCACCTGTACCCCAGCACGTGCCGCCTTGGATGCAGCGGCCGCAGCGCGGCGCGCTGCCGCATCTGCCGCGCGCCAGTCTCCGCCATAGGCGGCTCGAGTCACCAGCCATCCTCCAGAGCTCAGCCAGTTTTTCCCGCCGAAGGCGGAAAGCCAGAGCACGGAGGGGGATGGGCAGGTACGGCAGTTTTTTGCGGCAGGTCTGGCTGCCCTCTCTGGCCTTCGCACACAGCTACTCTGCACAGCTCGGCCTCTCCTGAAAGACGGGGTGGAGCCCACATGGGAGGGGTCGGCCACGCCCTCCTGAAAGACGGGGTCGAGCCCACATGGGAGGGTGTGGTGCCAGCTCCAACTGGCTTCGGCTCAATACGCACAGCGCAATTCGCAGACTCGCCGCGGCTGAGTCAAGGCTGCGGCAAGCATATATGCCTCGTGGGAGGACCGCGGCACTGTGCCTTGGCTTGTTTCTTTGGCCCTCGTCCAGGTGTAGCAGGGTCCCCTTGGTCCCTGTGTTCCTGTGAGGGGCCGCACGGAGGTGGGTCTCTGTTGTCTGGTCTCGGCTAGCGCCCAGGCACACCCACCTCCCTGTCGCGGACGGCCCGTCCAGGCCTTTCAGCTGCAGCGGCCGTCCTGCAGCACGGCAATGCCATTTTGGCCCTCTTCCCACTCTTCCCGCCTCATATGGGAACCCCCGCCCGCCCTCCAGTCCAGCACTCCTCCCCTGGAGGTTTGGACAGCCGCACGGCGGACTGGCCAATTTGGCCCTCCTTCCAGCTCTTCCCTCTCCTTCAGCCGACCGTAACCGGGACGGCACACCTAGGCAGGTCTCTCCTTTTTCCAGCCTTGTACTGCTCTTTGCCTCGAGGGCTGCCCTGCTATGGGCAACGAAGCAGGGCCCCGCTGATGTCTCTCTTCGCGCGGAGCTGCAAACTCCTCCTCTCTCTTATAAGATTCCTCTCTTCCCCTCCAGCAGCGCCAATACCTCTCTCCCGACAGTTTTCGGGACGAGAGCGGAAGCAGCTCAGCGTCCATGCTTTCGGGCTTCTCGTGTGCAGCCTGTGCCAGTCCTGTTGGCCTTAACGCTCAAGCTACTTGCAACGAGCCTAGTGGAGTCAAAAAGCCTCCCTCTGTCCTCCCTGCTCCCTCCTCCCTGCTCCTCGTTCACCGTGCCTCGGGCCACGATTTGCTAACACCCTCCTCTTGGACGCCCCCCGCGCTTGGATGCCCCTGGTGGCTGGCCAGGGCGCTGCGCTGAGCGATCGGCGCTGAGGGAGAGGAAGCCTGGGGCACCCCCATGGCAGGCGAGGTGTGGCGAGGCCCAGGAGGATGGTAAGAGCTTCCGAACGAGGGCACGAGGACGGTCCCCCCGAACGAGGGCACGAGGACTCGTCCTCCAGCGATAGCGGGCGTGACCAAGGAGGGGCGCGGTCACACCATGATTTCGCGCTGGCCCCGTCTGGGAATGCCTAAGAGTGGCCCGTTTCCAGGCGGGGCCGGCGCGAATCGTGACGTGACCAGGGGAGGTGTGGCGGGGGGGCGGCGGGGATGGTCAAGGGCGCCATAGCGAAATTTAAGGAATCGGAGCGGACCGAGGCGCGCGTGGATTGGCGACTGGTCCCGCTTCCAGACAGAACGGCGCGCTTCGTCGCTAAAGCAGGCGGCGTAGCGCCAACTAGCGCCACGTGAGGGAGGTACACTATGGTCGCTTCGCGCGCGATTGGGCGCGCTATTGGGCGCCATGGGGACGACCAAAAGCACCTGCGCCCTGCCTGTGGAGCGTGCTCTGGCCCTTTCCTTCCATATCCTAGGTGTGGGATTCTCGTTCAGCGTGGCGCCTCCTCCTCCTCCGCATCCCTCCCTCCCTCCCTCCCTCCCCTCTTCCTCCTTCCCTCCTCTCTTCTCCCTCCTCCCTCTCTCCTCCCTGCCCTCCGCCGCCGTGGTGCCCGTTGGCGCCGTGCCCCGACCGACGAGGCGATGGACGCGGCGGCCACGGCGATGGATGCCCTCCTCGCTCACCCGCCTCCCTGGCGCTTCCGCGACTCGGCTTAAGTCATACTCAGATCCAGTCATACTCGGCTTAATGATGGTCTTCTCCACATTCAGTCCCTCATCCTTCCGATTTCTCAGACTCAGTCACATCACTCTCACTCTTAGGCATAGTCACCCATCCTCAGACAGACTCATATCCGAATCCATCCAAACACAGACTCACTCACACTCAGACTCACGCACTCAGATCGCTCACGCGCAGATATACTCATACTCAGCGAAGTGATGTCTTATGCCACCCTGCCACTCATCCTCAGATCCACTCATACTAACTTCTCATGCTCAGACTTGCCCACGATCGCGATTTTGCAGGCGTGGCATGTTGCACCCAAGGGCCAGCCGCCAGGGAGGGGAACACGTGCCCGTTCTCTGCCAAACTGTGGGGATGCTCGTCTGGCGTCGCCGACTCCTCTGCTTCGAGAGCCCCGTGACCAAACGCGATGTGACAGGCGTGGCACTCGGGCGCCCCACGGGGGAGCCGCCGG